AGTATTTTAAAAGTTTTGTTGATAATTATTTAATACAAAGGGAGTGCCGGGTTCTCGGTCCGACCTATTACCCAAAAATCTGATCAATGACAATGCCCAACAAACAAGAGCTTTTTGTTTATTTTAAGAAGAGGCTGTATCATTTACCGCCTGAGGGTTTTTATCACCAGTTTTAAAAATGAATTTAAAAAAGCAAACAAACAAATCAGAAATTTGAAATATCGTTTGAGAAGAATCAACTTCCCTTTTTTTACAACAATTTTGCAAAATAAATACTTTCTCTGTCAATAGCCTCAACAAAAGCCCAGAGTTCAATCATCTTCGGCTACCGTATAGATATGGCCTTGTGTCAGGCTATGCTAAGCTTATCTTGAGATTTTTTTTTAATTTACATAAATTAAAAGCTTAATAAATAATGTTAATTTCCAATATGAGTTAGAGTAAGTAAAAATGCTTAAAAAAAAATAAAAAAAAAACCGAATCTATGACTAAAAAATAAAATCGAACGTTAAGTTTGCAGCACTGTCGATAATTTTCGAAAAACTTCAAATTTATATACTTGACAGCCACAACCCACACTGATTTAAGAAGACCTTCTTATGGCCTTCCCAACTTGAACCGAAGTGCAAATCAGTTTTTTTTTTGACTGATAAAGAGCAAGGGAAAAAAATGTTTTTTTTTGCATGAAAAGAAAAGCAAGTGTTAGACGACTGGCATCCGAATATGACATTTCAGAATAAAAATACAATAGCATTTTCTTTTTGCAATTATTAAGGTCATTATTGACAAAAGCGGTTCCACCTGGTCCCATTTTTAACGTTGTCAAGGGCTTGGCCCGATTTATTTGCTCCAATTCCTAGCAATTCTCTCCACCTACCCTGACAACACAATATTAGTCATACTAAAAATGCGTAGACACAAAAAGTTATTTCAACTCATTCCATTTTTAAAATTTGAATCGTCCAACCTTTTAAAACATTCAACGTTTAAATTTTTTTAGTAACAAACTGTGTTCGTTTTTTAAATTTATCAAAAACTAGCTACATTGTATTAAGTTGTGGTCATTGCTAAACATTAAACAATTAACAAACGAGTTACTGTTACTGAAACTCGTAATATTTTGATGCTTATAAACTTTTTTAAACCCTCCCCAGAAAAGTATTTCATAACTTAGTTTAATCAATCAATCAATACCAATAAGTTTTTACTTCCTGCAGTAGTTGGAAAAAAAAAATAATAATATAGAAATAGTACATAGCAACTCTGAACTAAGTTTGATGCACAGATTTATTTTTTAACATCCAGTGTGGATCGAATTCACTGGTACGGACGACATCATTATAGTCATCAAAAAATAAAAATACTATCAAACTGTCAGTCATTCTGAACTGCAAGATTCACTGCTTATGTACTTTTTTTTCGGTTGTCAATATTAGTATTTATTTACCATGGTAGACAGGCATTGAAGATGCAATTGCGCCAATGTTCTAGTTTTGATTAATGTTATGGTCTTGCTATTTTTTCAGCAATTATTATTCGATGAGAAACGAGAAAGATCACATTTTGTAATAAAACTATTTAAAAAAATAATTTCAAAGTTATTTAGAAAAAAAAACAAAACATACGTTGTATTTTTAAAGACAAGCTCTCTGTCCCAGGGCTTAGGAAAAACACTGAGAAATAAGAAAAATAAAGTAATTCATGAAAATGCGTGTCCTTATGATGATGGAGCGTGTTTAAGACTAAGACGAGGGCAAGAAGAAGACAAACATTCACCACCCTTTTTATTTCCTAGTTCTTTTTCTTTATTTCCTGGCCTCAAGATAAAATAGCATGGCAAGAAATTTTCACATTGATAAAGAAAGGAGGCTTCCCAGTGCAGACTGATCGATTTTTAATTGTGGTTGTGTTGTTAAAAACGTGACAGCATTTTTTTAAACATGAACAAATAAAACACTATTTAAACTAAACACGTACTTCAAAAAGCTGCAAATGCAAAATGCCAGCTTGTTAAACAGACTTGCAAGAAAGCAATTATGCAATCATAGGTCACAATACAATAAAAGATCCCATAAGACCAAAATTGTATTTTATTTGATTATTTTTTTTTTTTAATAATTTTAAGAGTTGAGAAAAATATTGAGTAAATAATTTGGCAAATTTAGGAATACAAACATTTGAAAAATATACATAAAAAGACAAAAAAAATAAATAATCCGTTTTTAAAAAGAGAAATAGTCAGCCTTCCCGTAAACGGCAAATAAAATAAGTTCTACTTTGTTCAGCTCAATAGAAACAAAAAATATTCCCATTTATTCATTGATTATTATTTCAACGATGAAACAAGTGACTAGGGTCAATCAGTTCTTTTATTTAGTATCGACAAGAAAAAATCGCATTTATTATGCAGAAAAAAAAAAAAAAAAACGAGATGAAATGATTTTTTTTTTTTTATTTTGAGTAAAAATCAGAACTTAACATTTTAAAAAAATATTATTTTTAAGTCATAGAAATAAAAATTGAATAAAATATGACAAACTGAGTAACATTGAATAAAGGAAGATCAAAAGGTAAGGTTTTTTTAAAGAAAGGAAAATGGATTAAAACAAAGAGATTCTTATTATTCAACGGTTGAACGTCTTTAAAAGCAAAGATGACAACTTCTTAAGACATCATTTTTAGCACACAAAAAACAAAAAGTAATGAAAATTACTTCATTATCATTTTTAATTTTAAATATACACGTTATTTTATTTTTTTTTCCTACAACATTGCCAAAAATGGTATTGTTTGGTTCGCTATTGAAATTGACATTAGCTATTATTCACATTTTCCTTTTTAATAAATGAGGAAAATAATCATTTTTTTTTCATTCCACATTCAAGACATTTCTCTTGTGAAAGTGTCCCAAATAATTTTTATTTGAAACTTTTACCATATTGATTCGACAGTCAAAAAAGTAATTTGAAAATTAAGAGCGAATTGAATAAATAAAGAAATGGTAAAATTTAAAAAATTTAAAAATAAAAATAAAATGATAAATTAAGCGGTGAACTAGATGTTCCTTCTTTACTTAACATAACAAAACAAAAATAAATAAATAAATGGTTTAGAGGAGAGAGTGAAAGACCATGAAACAATTAGCTTCAAAGCGAAAGAAAAGAAAAAAGAAAGCTAGTCTTTTAAAAACATTACAATACATTTAAATTTTGATAAAAAGCGCAAAATTACTAACGAGTTTTCGTAAAACCTCAGCTCAAAATCACAACCTAAAAATCTTTGATCCAGGCATTTGACTGGCATTTTTAAGTCCATTACAAATTCATGCATTTCTTAGTGCACGAATTTCACTGACATAAACAAAGACACCGCGCATCTAGACATGTAAATAAAGATTTGAGAGGAAGAGATTTTTCTGAAAATTATGACCATTGTGGATTTTATATAAAAGTAAAATGTATTCATAAAGAAAAGTATAAACACAACCAGAAATAAAAACGTGTTCAGCTTTAAAACAAACAAAAAAACGACTAGGTTTGAATACTGGACAACAAAAGAAGGCTATAAACAGGAAAGAGTGAAATACCCCAATTGCTTAAATTTGCCTTTTAAATAAAGGCTGATAGAAAATCAAAAATGTCATTATACGTGTTCATTTTTACATAAATTGGATATGATAAAGCAAAAAGAAAATTTTTTAAAAAAAATCAAAGAAAAAACCGGTAAAGTGCGTATGTCACGTTTACATGCGTCAGCTAAGAAAAGTCAAATGAAGCTTGTGTACAATTAATAATCAAACCATCAGTTCAATAAATCGATTATTTTTACGAGTACTTTTACACAGTATATACAAATTAATCATTTTTCTGACCCGACATTTGTACTCTAAAATCACAAAAATATTCAAAATATTTATACGTTTTATTTGCTATCTTCTATTAAAATAATGAAAAATTAAATTGAACCTTGCTTCTCTCATTCTGACATTAAAAAATAAATGTTAATAAAGAAAAAAAAATGGCAATGCTGGTTTAGTATTGTTTTGGAAGATTTAGATTTTTTTTAAATAAAAATTTGAAATAATTATCAATAACACTTTTATTTTAAATTGCCAAAACAACGAAAGCTAAACTGAAAATGAATTCTTCTTTTTAAATCATTACCATTATTTTTAGAAGCCAGATAAGAAAACAATAGGTTATGTTTGGGTTCGTTAAATTTATTCTCAATAAAATTTTTTTACGGATAACTGAAAAACAAGAATCAACCATTCATTAATGTTTTTTTTAAACTAACACCATGAATTGGAAGAAAGGAAAGGAAAAAGTTAAGTCATGTGTTTAGTGTGATAGTTAAAAAAAAAAAAAAAAAAAAAATTTTTTAAACTATTTTCACACATTAAACGATAAAGAAATTAACAATGATGATAGAATAATGTCTAGATTTTATTCAGCCTAAAACAAAGTTTTCCTTTGGTTAAAAAAAAATTAAAAAAAAATGAAACATTTCACCACACCTAATAAAGATAACATTCTTTCTTTACGTTTAATTTTGGCAACCTTTTTAAAAATAAGTTAAAATAAATGATAATAAAAAGAAAAATACGAGACAGGAAACGATTGAATTTTTTTTTTTTTTTTGTATTAAAATTGTTTTTTTAAGGGCTACGGAAATAAAACTGACAAAAGTTTAGGTTCAGAGAGAAAGAGTTTTTTTCTCGTTTAAAAAGGTAGAGAGTGTTTTCTTTAATTTTAAAAACACACACATAAAGACTAAAAATTATGTTTTATGTTTTATGTTACTTTAAAAAAAAATCTTGTTTTATGTTTATTTTAAAAGACTTTTTAAAACTTTTTTTGTTTTTCTTTGCAAGGTAGCTAAAGCTACATATTTTTTCTTTCGGTGGAGACATAACAATGGAAAATGTGATTGCAAGAAGAGAAAAAGGTAAAAAAAAATATTGATTAAAGGCAAATGAAGACAAAATATGATCAACATACCTTGTTGGGAAGACAAATTTATGATGGTAGCCACAAGAAGTAGAACCCCAACTGCTTTCGCCATTGCAATAACAAGAGTCCCACGGTACAACAGCAGCAGAAAGAGACCTGGGCAACCGAAGCAAGGGAGAGACTTTTAAGTTAACATAAAAAATAAATACCCGTGGGTGAAAGAAAATAATAAGTCAGCTGAACAATATTAATTGCCACTCGCTAAACAGAATAGAAGGTTTTGTCTTTCTTGTCCAGCTGAAGAAACTGTAGTAGTGAGTACGATGTGTACTCAATAGTAAATAATATCCTGGCGATCCAGAATAACTGAACCAGTGCGTGTGTGTATTATTGTACAAACTGGGAGGGCCCGAGGAAAGGCAGTATTATTGGCTATGAGGAAAGCAGAACCGATAGGCTTCTTATGAAAATAACACAGAAACACTCATCAACTAAGTCAGCAGACGAAGAAAAGCCATTATGGCCTTCTCTACATTAGATACAGGGAGGTAAAACAGAAAGACATGAAGGACCAGGAAAACGAGCGGCCATGTGAAGGTGTTCGACACACTTCGGTAATTTCCGTCGATCACCGATCCATTGATGCTGCTGCTGATGTTGCTGGCTGAAAAATTTGATGGATATTTGATCGAATTAAAAACCTCACAAACTTTCCAGTTTCCATGGATTTTGTTTTTGTCATGTTTAGTTTACTTTATGAAAATCAAGCGGGCAGGTTTAATGACTTATCAAAAGCTGATGTAAACGTATATTAAATTTGAATGTATTTTTTTTATATTTTTAAATTTATTCATCTGAAACCTGTCTACTTAGTTTTCAAAATAAAAAAAAACAAACTTTGAAATTTGAACGTTGGAAAAAAATAAAAAAAAAAATAATATAACTATTTTTGGTATTATGATTTTTTAATCAGTTAATTATTAATTTACAATACATACTGAGTGAAATTTAATTTTCATTTTTACTTTTATTCATTTATTTCGCTTTTAGTAAAATTTAAATTCAGCAAAGTTACATTAAATTAATTTCATCGTAATGCAATGGTGAAGAAAAAACCCCGCTACGGCTAAAATACTATCTTTAATGATCAATCATAATTAAACAAAAAAAAAAATATCTACCTTTTTTTTATCCTTACCTTAACTAACATTGTGAGGGAATTCTATCTTGGTACTTAAAAAAAAAATAGGGTCCCATGAGAAATGTGTGGACAATTACTTAAAGCACCCTGGAGAAAATTTCTCTTTTTTACGATTGCTGTCAAGTCAATACCAGTTCTAAAAATGCGTGCATGACTACAATAACGAGATTTACGGGCATTTCAATGGGAAAGTTTTTAAAAAATTAAATAACTTTTATACAGGGTGGCAATAAAATCACTACTTACAATAACAATTAAAACAAAGCAATTAAAATTAATCAACAGTCAGGTTCTGGTTAATTTTGGTTAATAACAATAAAATTCTCTGGTAAACAATAGTAAATTAATTACCGATACTGTTCGAATTGCAAGCCACCTGCTTCAGTGCTTTGCTTTTTAATTATAAGTAACTGTAACTTTATTGCCACTCATTCAAATTGAAACTCCTCTTTGACTTTTTAAACTCAAAATAGCTTCAATTTAATTTAACTATGGATTAAAGAAGCGGGAACATGCTGAAAATTACTATAAAAAGAAAAAGATGGTATAAGTCCTCTTGAGTGGCCAGCTTTTCAATCAAGCCTTATCAAAGAGAAGCGTTGATGAATAATAAGTTGTTAAAAACAAGAATTGGGTAGATTTCTGGATTGACACTTGCTGTGAAAACTTAGTGAAGAATTTAATACAAAATACGTCATGTTCTGTTTGACGAGTGACCTTCTGAGAACTGCACAAGCGAAAAGACTCTAGCCATGCATATCAGAAATATCTACAAAAATAGGAAGTTCCCCCAATAAATAAGAAAAATGATATCTCCTGCAATTTTGAAAAATCAAATGAATCAGCCAATCGACCATATTTCATATCCAAATTCGGGGACAGGTGGATAAATACAAAATCACCCAGTCGATTATATTTCACCTCTTAATTCAGGGAGAGGTGGGTAGATACAGGATCACCTAATCAATCATATTTCAGATCCTAGGTAAATACAGTATTACCAATCGATCATATTTCACACCATAATTCAGGGACAGGTGGATAAATACAAAATCACCCAGTCAATTATATTTCACCTCTTAATTCAGGGAGAGGTGGGTAGATACAGGATCACCTAATCAATCATATTTCAGATACTAGGTAAATACAGTATTACCCAATCGATCATCTTTCACACCCTAATTCGGGGACAGTTGGATAAATACAAAATCAACCAGTCGATTATATGTCACCTTCTAATTCCGGAAGAGGTGTGTAGATACAGAATCACCCAATCATTATATTTCACACCCTAATTCGGGAATACGTGGATAAATACAAAATCAACCAGTCGATTATATTTCACCTCCTAATTCAGGGTGAGGTGGGCAGATACAGGATCACCTAATCAATCATATTTCAGATCCTAGGTAAATACAGAATTATCCAATCGATCATATTTCACACCTTAATTCGGGGACAGGTGGATAAATACAAAATCACCCAGCCGGTTATATTTCACCTCCTAATTCAGGGAGAGGTGGGTAGATACAGGATCACCTAATCAATCATATTTCAGATCCTAGGTAAATACAGTATTACCCAATCGATCATATTTCACATGCTAATTCGGGGATAGGTTTACAAATACAAAATCACCCAGTCGATTATATTTCATCTCCTAATTCCGGAAGAGGTGGGTAGATACAGTATCATGCAATCATCATATTTCACACCCTAATTCGGCGGACAGGTGGATAAATACAAAATCACCCAGTCGGTTATATTTCACCTCCTAATTCAGGGAGAGGTGGGTAGATACAGGATCACCTAATCAAACATATTTCAGATCCTAGGTAAATACAGAATTATCCAATCGATCATATTTCACATCCTAATTCGGGGATAGGTGGATAAATACAAAATCACCCAGTCGATTGTATTTCACCTCCTAATTCAGGGAGAGGTTGGTAGATACAGGATCACATAATCAATCATATTTCAGATCCTAGGTAAATACAGAATTATCCAATCGATCATATTTCACACCTTAATTCGGGGACAGGTGGATAAATACAAAATCACCCAGTCGATTATATTTCATCTCCTAATTCCAGAAGAGGTGGGTAGATACAGGATCATGCAATCATCATATTTCACACCCTAATTCGAGGACAGGTGGATAAATACAAAATCACCCAGTCGATTATATTTCACCTCCTAATTCAGGGAGAGGTGGGTAGATACAGGATCACCTAATCAATCATATTTCAGATCATAGGTAAATACAGAATTACCCAATCGATCATATTTCACATCCTAATTCGTGGACAGGTGGATAAATACAAAATCACCCAGTCGATTATATTTCATCTCCTAATTCCGGAATAGGTGTATAGATACAGAATCACTCAATCATTATATTTCACACCCTAATTCGGGGATAGGTGGATAAATACAAAATCAACCAGTCGATTATATTTCACCTCCTAATTCAGGGAGAGATGGGTAGATACAGGATCACCTAATCAATCATATTTCAGATACTAGGTAAATACAGTATTACCCAATCGATCATCTTTCACACCCTAATTCGGGGACAGTTGGATAAATACAAAATCAGCCAGTCGATTATATGTCACCTCCTAATTCCGGAAGAGGTGTGTAGATACAGAATCACCCAATCATTATATTTCACACCCTAATTCGGGGATACGTGGATAAATACAAAATCAACCAGTCGGTTATATTTCACCTCCTAATTCAGGGTGAGGTGGGCAGATACAGGATCACCTAATCAATCATATTTCAGATCCTAGGTAAATACAGAATTATCCAATCGATCATATTTCACACCTTAATTCGGGGACAGGTGGATAAATACAAAATCACCCAGCCGGTTATATTTCACCTCCTAATTCAGGAAGAGGTGGGTAGATACAGGATCACATAATCAATCATATTTCAGATACTAGGTAAATACAGTATTACCCAATCGATCATATTTCACATGCTAATTCGGGGATAGGTTTACAAATACAAAATCACCCAGTCGATTATATTTCATCTCCTAATTCCGGAAGAGGTGAGTAGATACAGGATCATGCAATCATCATATTTCACACCCTAATTCGAGGACAGGTGGATAAATACAAAATCACCCAGTCGATTATATTTCACCTCCTAATTCAGGGAGAGGTGGGTAGATACAGGATCACCTAATAAATCATATTTCAGATCCTAGGTAAAGATAGAATTATCCAATCGATCATATTTCACACCCTAATTCGCGGATAGGTGGATAAATACAAAATTACCCAGTCGATTATATGTCACCTCCTAATTCAGGGAGTGGTGAGTAGATATAGGATCACCCAATTGATCATATTTAACATCCTACTTCGGGGATAGGTGAGTAAATGCAGGACCATCCAGTCGATCATAATTCACATACTAATTCAGAAGAGGTAGGTAAATACAAGATCACCCAATCGATCATTTTTACATCGTAATTCAGGGAGAAGTGGCTAATTACAGGATCACTCAATCGAACATATTTCACATCCTAATTCCTCACAACCTGCCCTGAAAAATGTTCCGTTAAAGTTGATGCCAAACCTAATGTATCCCCTGATGGGCTGTTTAAGAGGTTGATTTTTCAGTACAAAAAAGCTGACTGGGATAGCTTCAGATCTTACATGACGGAAACTCCTCTTTCGACATTCTTCAAATATTTTCCACTGTAATCTCTGAATGGGTTCTTTCTGGCATGAAAAGTTTTATACAGCAGAGAAAATACCAATCAAAACTAGATAACTAGCCCTGGTCCACTCCAGAATGTGTTTCAACAAAAGCTCACTGTAACCACTATTAAAATATCTATAACAAGGAACAGTGTAGTAGGAGACTTGCTGTATTCAAGGGTGTTCTCG